TGCCTCTAGAGCTGCATTTCCAGTCTTGCAAGGAGTTTTTTAAGGACAGTTGCTCTTGATTTTTCAGAAATTGAGTTGTAACTCAAATGACATTAGAGATTAATCTACTTGTCCAACTACATTACTAAGGCACAGAGAAACCATTCAAGTTTTCTCCAAGATGGAGTTTCTAGAGCATATTTGCCTTATCATTTTCTAACATCGCAATATTTATGAGCGTGTTGAGAGGAACAAGGGAGGCTTTGGAATTGGAAAAAGGACAAGTGAACTTTGAATCACCTTCTGGAGACATACTTCCTGCCCTGCAGAGATGTGCAAGAGAAACATGGTTGTTTCCAGTTCCCCAAAGAACTGGAAATGTCGACCCACCCTTTCAGCTACATTTTTCCAATTTAGAAGTTTTTCCAATTTAAGGATCCATCCTCTGACCTTTGATGAGTAGGATCTTAATAGCGACTCAAACCAGTAAGCATTTATGGCTTAACTATGGATGCAGGAGGCATCCCCAAAAGAGAGTGCAAAAGAAGCAGCCCTCAGAAGATCCAGAAAGTTCAATCCTAAAAATAGCCCAAGAAAGCAAAGTCTTCTGCTACACAGGTGGTAGTGCACTAACAAACAATGAAGGTTGCAATGACTAAGGTCCCCCACTGAGGTCCCCCGATGGCCTGGGACCTCTACTGACAAACTCCCCTGAGAGCTGACACAGCTGGACAAAGAGAGCACATCACAGAGGCCCAGTCTACTGCTTTGGCCACCAAGATACACATCAGCACATGCATCCTCCAGATGATGGAGAGCAAAGAGGTCACAAAGCCAAGCTCTTCAAGACATAGAAGAAGGCAAAAGGAAAAAAAAAATCTCATATACACATTAAGAGCTTTAGCTGTGGTTTGGGTCTCTTGGAGCCAGATTAATACCTGGGGGGAGGTGCTGCAGGGTTGGGGCCTGTGTGTGCTATACAGAGTACCTCATCATTGCGTGGATATTTTCTTGAGGTTGGTGGGGGACCTGTCATCATCTACCTCAATCTGTGACCAAGTTATCCTATCATGGGAGTCTTCTGGAGGTGGCAAATGCCTTAATGACTCTTAACTTCTTGACCCATGCCCACCAATTTTGTGGCCCTTTTTGGCTTCCAAGATGCCCTTAGCAGCAGCTTCCACTTTATGCACGTACTCCATAGATGGGCCTTACAGTGAAGTTTACTGTGGGCTCCCCAGACAACAGGCTTGTGGAGATGCCTGCATCGTGTCTTATGTTTTTTTCTTTTTATGAGGAACCACACAAATTGACAGAGACAAGGGAAAATAGTGGCTATCTCTGGGAATAGAAGATTAATAAACCAAAGAATATTCAGTAGTTTGTACCATGTACTCATAGCTAGTAGTTGCCCAATTTGGGAAAATGCAGCCTAAGGGCTACAGGTGGGAATCAAATTCGCATTTCCCATTGTTTCAGAATTTAGACACAGCCGGTTAAAAGTGTATTTATCCTGCAGCTAGAACCAGATTGTAAAAATTTCAGGTGTTCCTGAAACCAAGACCCTCACAGCGAAGGCCCAGGCAAAGCTTCCTTCTAATGGTCAATGTAATTCCCCTGAGGCTGACGGCAGTTTGGTAGGACCCTTAGCCTCACACGGGAATGCAACCTGCATTTCTGTCCAGCCATCTCTGATTGCAAAATGAAGTGCCATCGCATTTTTGTCCCACTGTAATTTTGGGACCCCCCAACCTGGTGATTATCAAGCCTTGCCCTCAGGACACAAAACAAGCTTGGTGAGACTCTGCAGTCCTCTGCAAACATTTACAGCTCCTGGAACCTCGAGGTCGAATGGTGAAGCCCTTGACTGTTTAAAGATTTCCTTGTTTCTCGGTTTAAAAGCTCAAAAGGAGCCTAAAGAGGCTACTGTAATTTTAAGTTATCACAGGTTATCTTGCCAGCTGTGCACTGTTAGCCCCGTTTTAGGGGGCTTTTCCCAAAGTAGCCGCAACAAACAGGGTAATCTCTAAAGAGAGTTTGTTACAGTTACTGAGAAACTCAGTTCCCAAAACAGCTAGTTCAATTCAGACAAACATTAACACACAATACAGTTCAACATATAACACAGACCAGAATACTAGCTAGTTTTCCAGGAGTAGCTCAGAACCACAGCCTGGAGCTACTCAAAATCAAATTGCCGGAGGCAACTCGGAACCAGTGCCTCAACTTGCTCAGATGCAGAAGCAACTTCATGATGAGCCTTTTATCCTGCCTCTAATTACCTTGGGTGGTTCAGGTAGGTTCAGGTCCAGCCCACCAGGGTCCCCAGAATACAAGCCAAACTTAGATTTCCAGGAAATCAAACCAAAGAGATGAGATAAGGAACAGTTGCTTTCTTTCTTTTTTTCTTAATAAAGCTGGGGGTTTTTTTTGAGAAAGATTGGCCCTGTGCTAACATCTGTTGCCAATCTTCCTTTTTTTCTTTTTCCTCCCCAAAGGCCCAGTACATAGTTGTATATCCTAGTTGTAGAGTTGTAGCTCTTCTATGTGGGATGCCGCCTCAGCATGGCCTGATGCGCGATGAGTAAGTCCGTGCCTAGGATCTGAACTGGCGAACCCTGGGCCACCGAGGCGGAACGTGCACACTTAATCGCTCTGCCACTGGGCTGGCCCCAGCAGTTTCTTGCTTAAAGTTACTTACCCAGAGCCCAGAGCCATCTTGATCCAGAAGCTGTTTCTTCTCCCAAAGGAAGAAAAATGCCTTGGGCCTAGAGCAGTGCAGCGGGAAACAGGAATCCAATCAGTTGAGCCTCTAGATGGTGTTGTCTAGGCAGCTGTGTAGGGCTGATGAAAAGACCCCACACCCCTCTGCAGGTTCCTGAGCCTTGGGCAGGTGGTCACAGGACCTTTGTCCCTTCTCGGTCGCCAGTTGTTACCACACAAAATTGGGGTTCTCTGCCCAATGTGCATAAACACGCCAATTTAATTATGGCATCAGCCTTTGGGAAAAGAGATCAGCTTTATTCTGTGAGGTGGATCTGCCAGGAGACGGGCCATATCGCCTCAGATCTGTCTCCCTGATTCAGGATTTGGGGTGAAATGTAAGAGGTTAGGCAGAACAGGCGGCCACTTGGAAACCCTGGACGCGTTTTCATTGGTGGGCTTTAAGCATTTATGGTAAAGTTATAAATGGTTATGACAGCATTCTAAACATTCACGATGGGATTCTAAACATTTATGATGGGGTCCTAAACATTTTTGATAAGGTGGAGAAGGAATTTTAACATCGGATCTTCCTGAATGACGGACCCCTCACTTCTGATAAGAGTCTGACTGTCAAGTTCCAGTGTCCTGTCAAGTGTCCCTGTCCTGGGGTTCTGTGGGAGGGAGGGTCTTTGGTTCTGAGGTCATTTCAGGTCACGATTTCTTCTTTTGTGCATGCCCTGGCTATGTGACTTTGCAGATTTTCTGAAAGGCAGTTCTTAATCACTCTGTTGATAAGAGATGGAGTCAGTTGAACTGGTCCTGGAGGGCCCGAGGTTACAGAATGACAATAGAGAAATCCCTCAATTTAGTGATCATGGTCACCAATCAAGGAAAAACCCCTGCTGAAGGAATCCCCTCCTGTGGCAATGGCCGCCACACTAGACTGAGAATCATCTCCTGGATGGTCATCCCCCGGTCCCTAAAAAAGGCACTGACCTCGACCAAATGGAGGGAGGTCAGAACCTGAGAGGACCCACAATTGGAAGAGTCTGTGATTCATGGAAACTGTGAGCCCCAGGTGGCTCGTGTGGCTACCGTACCCGGTTCCAGAGGAGGCAAGTCCATGAAGGTGAGATCACTTCAGGTCCTGCTTTCTGACACCACGTATGTTAACCTAAAAATAAAGAGTCAATATGACAGGCAGAGAGGCATTTATTTGTGGATCAGAGAATTGCAGTTCAGGGAGCACAGATTCAGGTAGAAACACAAATAGTGTGTCCCACTAGGGAGTGAAATTCAGGGGCTTTTAATGGCATAGAAGGGAGATTTACATTACAAAGAATGTTAATTTGGTTTGGGGGCAGAAAGCTAATCTTGTCTAAAAATCATTGATTGCTGAGGCCAGCTAGAGGGAGGCAACAGTCCATCACTGTGAGGAGCTGCAGGTTTCTTGCAGCATTACTCAGTTCAGAAGTTCATGTTCTGCCTGATGAGGACGTGCATGAGACCCATTTCCTTCGTGACTTCGCAGCTCCATTTTAAAGCCCTTAGACATATGTGACTCTGTTTTGTTTCACATTTCACGACCTCAGTCAGGTAATGCACAAGGGGCCAGCTCGGGGGAAACACTGGTCTCCTGACTTCTTACTCTGTCCCTCTGTTCACCAGGCTGCATCTCTGTCGGGCACTCAGCCCTTCCTGCCCCTGGAGTTCTCTCTTGGAAACAGTTTGGTGCTTTATCTTTTATTTTGATAACACCTTTATTCACATACCATAATATTCACCAACTGAGAATGTACGCTTCAGTGGGTTGTAGTATATCCACAGAATTCTGCAACCATCACCACTATCTAATTTCAGAACATTTTCATCACCCCCAAAAGAAAAGGTGTACCCATTATCAGTCACTTCCCATTCCTCTCTCCTCCTGTCCCCTGGCAATTTACTCTCTGTCTCTGTGGATTTGCCTATTCTGGACATTTCATATCAATGAAATCATACAATATATGCTCTTTTGTAACTGGCTTCTTTCAATTAGCATAGTGTTGTCAAGATTCGTCCATGTTGTATCACCACTTCGTTCTTATGGACAAATAATATTCCATTCTATGGATATTTCACATTTTATTTCTCCATCATGAGTTGATGGACATTTGGATTGCTTCTACTTTCGGCTCTTATGAATAATGCTGCTGTGAAAATCTATGTACAAGTGTTTGTGTTGACACATGTTTTCATGTCTTAGGCATATACCTAGAGATGGAATGGCTAGATCATACAGTAACTACATGTTAACATTTTAAGGAGCTGCCCAGTGGTTTTCCAAAACAGCTGCACCATCTTACATTCCCACCAGCAGTGTGAGAGGGTTCCAGTCACTCCACTTCATCTTGAACACTTGTTCTTCTAAGACTTTTGACTGTAGCCGTCTTGGGGGGTGCATCACACTGTGGTTTTGATTTGCATTTCCCTAGTGACTAATGATGTCAAGAATCTTTCCATGTGGTTTTTGGACATTTGTATATCTTCTTTGTAGAAATGTCTGTTCACATCCTTTGCCCATTTTTAATTTAGGCTACTTATCCTTTTATTGCTGAGTTGTAAGAGTACTTTATATATTCTGGATACAATCCCCTTATCAGATATATGATTTGCGAATATTTTCCCCCAATCTGTGGATTATTCTCTTTTCACTTTCTTTTCTTTTTTTTTTTTTGTGAGGTAGATCTGCCCTGAGCTAACATCCAATGCCAATCCTCCTCTTTTTGCCGAGGGAGATTGGCCCTGGGCTAACACAGGTGCCCATCTTCCTCCACTTTATATGAGACGCCGCCACAGCATGGCTTAACAAGCGGTGCGTGTTGGTGCGCGTCCAGGATCCGAACCCGCGAATCCTGGGCTGCCGCAGTGGAGCGCACACGCTTAACCACTACACCAGGCTGGCCCCTCTTCACTTTCTTAATGGTATCCTTTGAAGCACACAAGTTTTTAATTTTGATAAAGTCCAATTTATCTATATTATTCTTAGGTTGCTTGAACTTTTGGTGTTGTGGGGGATCAGAAGTGGCTACCCCAAAATATGTCTCTTTGACATGAGGATTATTTGGGGCTGGTTACTTTTAAGAAACTGCAGACCAGGAAGAAGCTCTGAAAACCAAGTAGAAGTTACCCTTTGTAGGATACATTTACATTTGTAAGGGAAATCTCCATTTGTAAAGATGTCTCCCTCTCTGTACCAGGAAGAGGGGGGATGATCTTTTCTCTAGAAACTCCTATCAATGCAGAAAGCAAGGACTTAAAATCTGTGTAATAACCTTACGCTTGTTCAAACTGCTTTTTCTGGTAGTCTTCCATAACTAACTCCTCCCAACCCCAACATCTGCCTTAGTCTTTAGCTAAAGATGGTGTTGAAGGAGGCTACCTCAGCCATTCTGGTGAGTTTCTCAGTTTTCCTGGGTTTCTCCCATGTATAGATGTTATAAAGCTTTCTTTGATTTTCTCCTGTTATTCTGTCTCATGTCAATTTAATTCTTAGGCCAGCCAGAAGGACATAGAGTAGGTAGAGGAATTGTCATCCTCCCCTACAGAGTGATATTTAAAGAAACTGGTGGGGAGAAGATGAAAGGGGTAAAGGTGGTCAATTATATGGTGACGGAAGGAAAGTACACTTTTGGTGGTTGAGCATGCTGTAGTGTATACATATGTCAAATTAGAATTGTACACTGGAAACCTGTACAGTGTTATAAACCAATATTACCTCAATAAAAATAAAAACTAAAGGAAGAAAGAAAGAAACCATTGGCTAATCCACAGTCATGAAGATTTACTCGTACGTCTTCTTCTAAGTTTGTTGAGAGTTTAGCTCAACTACTCCATAGTGTTGCTGCCTCGGCATCCATTTTTTCTGGCCAAGCACCCTGCAGGGTTCTTGAAGTGAGTCTAGCCCCTCTTGAAAGTGCACGCCCTGGGTAACCACTGGCAGACGTTGTTATCAGTTTAGCCTCCCTCTGGTGGGACGCGAACCCACAGTCAGAGGGGACCTCGAAGAGTCCATGGGTGGGACTCGAACCCACAATCCCCAGCTCTTCCTCAGAGGGTTCTTTCCTATTCAGTATGGCAGAATTGAAACAAAACTGAAGCTGAGCATTCAATAGCACAATCTTTATTCGATGGCCAAAGACTGGAAAAGGATTAACAAAGTTCACAGAACAACTTCTCAGCTCTGGGGGGGATTAAGCAGGTATTATAAGGGGTCGGGGTAATGAAGAAGAGGAATATTCATAGCAATATGGGAAATTGGGCAGGCTTTTCTGGGAAATGGGGTGCACCCCTTTTCTTCACTTATTTGATCTCGAATTTTCTGTCATCTGTGGGTAGGTGTGTCATGTAGCATGATAATGTATTACAATGAGCATATAATCAGCTGCAGGGTCTGTGTCAGGTGAAGTCAGACTGTCATGTTGCCTTCAACGGATTTTAACTGGTTTTGACCATGTGTCTCAGCCATCTTCTCCTTCCACTCTCTCTGGTTTCCTGTCAGCTAAGGATCATGTCAGGCTCGTTCTGAGCAGGGTTGTGATTAACTCTTATGGGGTTGGTGGGCTGGGTAACAGAGTCACAAGTAAATGTAAGTTCCTGATATGACTCCTGCAACTGCCCTTGTGAGAAGCATTCTCCCGGCCTCCCAGGGCCTTCCTGTTGTGTGCCCCTTAGATGAGACTCCTGCAAAGCTTACCACAACCCCTCCTTGCTTTGAATTGACAAATCCAGACTTAGCCCAGGATCACCAAAGCACTCTGCCTATGGACCCCAATGAAAGGAGTATGCCCCAGGTCCTCCCCTGCTCTTTGCATGAACCTCCCAGTGTGGCCTCTCAAGGTGTGCTGTGGACCTTTTCCAGGATCTGTGAGTAACGGATTTCTCTATTTCAATTCCTGTGTGGTCTTCTGTTGAACAGAGGCTCACCATCCAATACCCTTAGGTTTCTACTTAACAAGTGTTAATTTAACAGAGTCACAACATGTTTTACAGGCCTATCTCATTGTATTGTGCTTTGCAGGTATTGCATTTTTTACAAATGGAAGGTGTAGGGGAAGAGAGAGAATAACCCCCTTTTTCCCTTCTGGTTCTCATGGCTGGTCAAAGAATTAAAAATGACAGAAGGCAGGTTAGCAGGAGAAAATCAAACAGAGTTTAATATGTGTACTTGGGGAATTCACATAAGCATGAAGAATTCCAAAGACAGTTAGGCAAAATGAGGTATTTATGTCCTTCTGGACTAAGCAGAGGAAGACAGAGCTCTGAGACTTGAAAGGGGGAGAAGGCAACTTACAGAAAGATGAAAAGAGTTCGTATTTGGTAAATAAATGGTTGCATTGTCCCATCTATAGACAATGGGACCTGAAAGAGATCCTTTGATAAAGTGGCCCTTGCTAGATGCCTTCCTGCCTACCACACTTAGAATTATCTATGATAAAATTTCCTTCCTGGAACAGGTCCTTCTAGCTTCAATACTTTTAGGCAGTTTGTCGGAAGGTCAAATATTCTTCCAGTCTTCCGAGCCTTGATTATCTTCAGCTCAAAATAATCCTCATACCAGAGTGGCACATCTTGGGGCAGCCTGTCCTGAACCCATCAGTTCCTTCTGCTGAAGGTTTGCTGTTGTTTCACATGTTAAAAGCTGACCTGGTGACTGTGGAGAGAGAAAACGACTTAGTAGCTGAGTGGTCAGAAGTCTGCAAAGGGAGGAAAGAACACAGATTAGAATGAGGATGAACAAGCAGAAAGGAAGGGATCAGAGCACCTCCTCACACCCTGTTAAACCAGTTCCTCAATCCTGGGAATAAGTCAGTCCAATAAAATGGGTGAGCTTCATTCATCTGATGGAAAATGTCAATCTTCTCTTTTAATAGATGTGAGTTAGATACTACTTGCCCTGTTTGGTTCACATAAAAGCAGCATTTTCCACTGATGACTGCACAAGCTGCTCCTTGCTGGGCAGTCAGTGTGTCCAGAGCATGTCAATTTTCGAGGACCACGGGGGCTAAGCTGTTAACCTCTGACTGGAATATTTTCAAAGTTTGCATGGTGGTGTAGCGGAGGAAGAACTGTTACTCTACCCTCTAGGTCCTTCTGCCTGGTCTAAGAATTAAAGAGACATGAGACAGAATAACAGGAGAAAATCAAAGTTTAGTAACACATATACATGGCAGAGACCCAGCAAAACTGACTAACTCACCAAAATGGCAGAAGCCACCACCTTAAATAGCATCTTCAGCTAAAGACAAAGGAGGATGTTTGGGGTAGTAGTTTGGGACTTCAAAGGGGAAGAGGGCAATTTACATAGAGGTGGAAAAGCGAATATTTGATAACAGATGTTTGCTGGACCATCTGTAGACAATGTATGAGAGAAAGAGAGAGAGAGAACTTTGATAAAAGTGGGCTTAGCAAGGATCCTCCCAGTCTATTACACCCAGAGTTATCTATGGTGATGGCTTTTCCTGGGGATAGGCCTTCTATGTTAAATTCTTTTAGGCAGTTAGGGGGGAGGTCAAAGTTTCCTTCATAGTCTTTAATCTTTAAAAATAATCAAGTCAAACAGACACATTTTGGAGTGGCCAATTCTGATCCACCAGAGTGGTGTTTGAACTCTTGTTCCATTACTGTGGAGAGATTTAAGATCTCCTTTTCCAACTTGTAATTTCCAAAGATGGAGAATAAGGCTCTCGATGCTGAAAAGAACTTGGACTTGTGATACACAAGCAGATTCTCTATGATTTCTCAACTCGGGCATTTATGTGGCACAATCTTATGAACAAAGGAACTGAAGTTTGCTGTGTGGCTGGCATTTAGGGTGGAGTATCTGGTGACAGAAGGGGCCAGTTGTCCAAGTCTACATCATCCTCCCCAATTAGGTGGAAACCCTTTCTATACTTTGTTGCCACATAAAATAAAAAGACCAGTGTGGTTTACAGGCCAGGTTAGAACTGAACCTGTAGTTCCCAGGGTCTGGAGTATTCCATGACCTTTGCCACTGGTAGTATTAGTGCCTAAGCATCTCCATTTTCCATGCACTCCTGTCAATCTGAGACGGCAGAACACATTGTGGAATAGCTGGTACGGGTGGCCTGCACTCTGATTTGGCGGCTATAAAGCCTGGTCCTGTCACCTGACCCAGTGAGTCTAGAGTTTTGACCCACCCGTATATAGTTTGTGGCTTTGGGCAGCTTAACCATGTGGGCAGCTGCTATACCCCAAGTTGTACAAGGGTGGCTCATAAGCCATCCAAAACATTTGGTGATTTGGCAAATGTTTGTGCCGAAGGGAG